GAGCCTCGAGGTGCCCCTTCTCCTCCGTCCCCATCCTCGGGTCACTTATTTATTTATCTATCTATCTATTTATTTATTTATTTACGGTTTAAGTTATTTATTGGTATTTATTGATGGCTGGAAGTCGGGGTGGGGGGTGTCTGTGTCATTTCTGCTGCACGGTGAGGGACAGCTGGGTTCCCTCCCTGCTGTCCAGGCCCCTGCATTTTTGGGGTGCTGCCACGTGTTTGGGAGCACCACTAGGAACGGATTCTTGTCGGCCCTCGTGCTCCCATCCTGTTTTGGAGCCAGGGGAGAGGAAGGGGAATCATGTCAGTGCCTGTTCCCTTCCTACAGGAGCTCAAAGCCCCTGTGCCCCCTCCTCAGGCACTGTGCTCCCTCCCGTGCCCATCTGTATTTATTGACCCGGCCTCCTGGTGTTTCTCCATTTGGCTCCTGCTGGATTTGCTGTTGCCAGTTCCCGGAGATGGCGAGAAGAGCCAGGATGTGTGGGTGTCACTATGGAGAAAAGACCAAACCAGGTATTCTGCTGCCGTGTGGGGAAAATCGGAAGAAGAGGAAAGCTGGTTTTGCAGAGTGCCTTAAACACAAATGACTTTACCGAGTAGGGGGCTTGGACTTCTGTCTCTGGATGTTATTATCAACTCGAACAAGTAATTGCATTTCACTTCTCTGGGATTAAAAGAAAACCACTCGAGCTGTACTGGAACCAAACCCTGTGTTTGCTTGAGTCTGTCCAGCAGCCTCTTTACACAAAGCTTGCTGTGGGGCTGTGTCCTCAAGCTCCCAGAAAATTGGGCAGCTGGTTGGAAAGCTCTTGGCAGGGGTGGATAGGCAGTCTATTTTGCCCTTAGGAAACCAGATCAAGGCCAGGGCTGTGCGCTGAGGGAACAGCAAGATACCCAGGAGCTCGTGCAGCCCTGCTGTGGGGAACTAGGGAAGGTGCCAAGCTTGATAAGGCTGGAAAACTACACAGAAAAGAGATGCTTCCCCTTCGAAATTGCAAATCTCCCTGCCACTTCTTGCGAAGTGAAAGACAGGGAACAAAAGCCAACCGAGAGACCAAGTGTTTTTATCTTCCAGTAAACATAATACATGGGGATAATGCAGAATTTTATAATGCAGGTTCATTTAAGAGTCATTTGGGGAAAAATAAAAATATTTGCTGTATAGTTTCTAGAGGTAATTAAATATTAACAGATTTTTTTTTTGACAATGAAAGAGGGAGGTTTTTGAAATGCAGCCATGTTTGGAGAAGGATGTCCTCAGCAGGGTGGCCTGGCCTGCATGCCAGGGTGCAGGAAGACAGCAATGGGTGCTAGGAGACTCTGGACATTGTCTGAGGACTGATGGGCCACATCCTAGGTGGGTGCTGCCCCCGGGTTAGGGTTCACGGAATGCTGGAGGGTATCTCGTTTCATCCAGCATGTTGCTTACCATGAGCATCAATCCTACTAGTCCCCACTTGCTGTGGGATACATCTGTGCCCTGAGCCAGCCGCTCATTCTGAGCATCGCTGACCGTGCTGGGCTCCCAGAGATGCTGGCAGGCAGCCTATGAGCTATTTGGTGAGCAGGTTTCTTTCCCGCTGTTATATTAAAACATCGCTCGTGTCTTGACAGATCCCTGGGGTGCAGGTGCAGAGTTCACATGGTTTCTCCCTCCCCACACCCTCCCTGCAGCTCATGGCAGGCCAGGCTGAGGCATGTTCCCTGAGCAGGCATCTCCTTCCCACCCCTGAGGCTCTGCCACAAAGCAGAGGCAGCACAGCTGCCCCAGGCTCCTTCAACTGCCCCAGGCTCCTGTCCTGCCTCATCTGAGCCTCTGTGCCCTGGGACAACCTGTGTTTCACAAGTGCCTTATTTACAGAGAAAGAACAAGGGTAATTGTGTCACTGCCACCCACCCAGGAGCAGGGCCACAGGGGCAAAGTCAACGGTGCAGGGTGCAGACAAAGGATGCCGCAGGTAGTACTGAACATCAGTTTATTTGCTCTATTCCCTCTTCCACAAAACCTAAAACAATCAACTTCCAGCAGATGAGAAAGCAGTTAAGAAGTGAGAGATCTGGCTCTGCAGCCCCTCCCTAAGCACGGGACCAAAGGTGTTAACGCGTTAGTGACGGCTGCCCCAAAAGGCGTGCGGCAGTTTGGAGCCCCCGAAGTTCCAAAGCTCCAGGAAAAGCTCAGAAGACGCTCCACAGCACAAGCCTCAGAGCCCCCACTGGTCTGCCAACCTCTTCCTTGTGGGACTGGTTCAAGGCAAGAAAACACCTGGGGCTTTAGTTCTGAGGGGATGTGGGGAATGAAAGGGATGGGGAGGGTTTGTTTAGTATTGCAATGGGCCATCCGTGTGACGGTACAAGGCTGCTGATTGTGTGGTGTCAGGGAGGCAGGAGCTGGACACGGGGAAGGCTCCCGAGGCCGAAGGACGGCTCACTCTGGCTGCGGGGTGTAACGCAGGTACTTCTTGCCAGATGGGAGATCCTTTGTGAAGACCCCTTTGGGAAAGAGCTTCTTGGCTTCGTCATCAGGTAAGGTGGGCACAACCATGACGCTGTCACCAGGCTAGGGAGCAAATGGGAACCGTGAGAGCAGCAGAGCTGTCAGTCCTGGATGTGGGTGGCACATCTCTGTTGCCTCCCCATGAACACTCAGCCCAGGCACACCCCCTGCAGCTCTGCCCGGAGTAGGGAGCAAAGACTGAGCAGGACCTACACCATAACATGTGGGTGATGTCAAAAGGGAGAGCTGTGCCACCTGCTCAGCTCTTCCTCAGAGGAACAGGGAGTAGCGAGAGGAATTTGGGCATCTCTACAATGCCAGAGGGACCACAGCTTGCCTGAGTCTGCTCACCTATTCCCAATACTCAGGCACCCCTGGACAGACAGTGCCAACTCTGCCATGGGGCAGAGCCCCGCGGAGAGGTGTCCTTCCCTGGGAGGTGCTGCTGGGTGAGCTAGTGGCAGGACAGTTTCAAGGAGCTGAGCAGCTCTTCTGGGCTGAGGAAACACTGGCTACCTGAAGTGGCCAGACGGTGCTGCTTGGTCTCACTTTGTCTTGGCTGCCCAAAATGTTTTGTGGAGTCTTAAATAATGCTACTGAATAGGGATGGCCACAACTAAGCAACTTAAACCAGTGATCTTCCATGAGGGTAGGACTCAGCTGTTCACATGCTGGGAAAAGGAGGGTTGTGCCCATACTGGATGTTCCTGGCTCGAACACAGGAGAGCAGCAAGCCAGCCCAGGGAGGGGTGCCCCATGCTTGCTGCTTTGCTGACTTTGAGTGAAATTTGGCACACTGACCCCTCGAAATGCCCTTCCTTAGCATAAAAAACAAGGGCAGGACCTGCCTTGGCCTAAAGCTCAAGTACTGTTAGCCAGAAGGGCAGGGGCAGAAGGTTGCTGTGGCTGACTCCAGACTGCAACAGCCCTCAGGCCTGGGCTGGGATCTAACTTGTATTGCAGGACCTCATCAGCTTTCCCCACCCTGTGGGTCCCCCTCCAAGGGAAGCTGCTTGATGTTTCCATGCACGTTTTCAAAGCCTGGCTGTGAGCTTTGCTCCCTTCCTCACCTTCCAGTCCACAGGAGTAGCAACTTTCTTGTACGCTGTCAACTGCAGGGAGTCCACCACTCTCAGGATCTCATCAAAGTTCCTCCCGGTGGTGGCTGGGTACAGGATGGAGAGTTTCAGCTTCTTATCCGGGCCAAAAACGAACACCTGAGCACAGCGAGAGAGGGTCAGGAGCTAGGCAGATGTCTGTCAAAGTGCCTTGCTGGATTTGCTCAGCCCTGCTGCTCCTCCCTTTCCTGGGAGGTGACCTGATTGATCCCAGCTGTTGGGACAGGGGAGATGCCATGGCTGGGACCTTCTAGAGCAGCAAGTGATGCCCAGGCACAGGGAACACAGTGTTTGCTCTGGGAGCTCCTGTTTCCAATGCCAGCTCGTTTTGCTACTTGAAATGTTTCCTCTCCTTGACCTGTGTCCTTCTAATGCAACCACAGAAGGGGAGAGGGCAAGTGCAGCAGATCAAGCACTTTTGTCCCCTTTGTATTAGGACAGGCACAACCAGGATGAGCTGGTGGCAACAGCAAGATGGTGCTTTTGCCAGCAGGCCAGCACTGCAGCAGCTTCTTCCTGCAGCACAATGCATGGATTTAGCCTAAGGAAGTCAACCTAGCTCCTGAAGATGGTCACGGGCACCCAGGTAAGCTGCCCCATCTTCAAGCCCAGCCTGGCAGACACTGGGCAGGACAGCAGGCCATGCCTCCTGCTGAGAAGGCACCTGTGCAGTGGTGTTCCAGAGCCAGGTACTCACCACGCGAGCAGTCAGGGGCATGCCGGCCTTGTCCCGCTCGTCTGGGTCCAGCATGCCCAGCTTGACAGCGAGCTCCCGGTTTGCATCAGCAATGATAGGGAAGGGGAGTTTCTCTTCAGGCTGTTCCCCATTGTACGCGTTGATGTCCTGCAGAGACAAAACCATCGGCACACTTACGCTCCCTGTTGTGGGTGCCACCACAGGAGGCTGAGAGACCTCCACGCAGGCTTTATGTGTGGAGGGGCAAGCTCCTGCAGAGAAGCCATGCCTGTGCTAGTGACACAGGGAGATCTACCCACCTTTCCCTGAGAAGAGAGGTGCCCCTCTCCAAACCCTCTGCCAGCAAGTGATCTAGCACTGAAACCAGGACAAAAGCGAAATGCTATTTTGAGTGTCTCCAAATCTGGTCTGGACTTGGCCAAACCATTCAAGTCATCCTTGTAGTTAGTGCCACCCATATGGGTCACGCTGAGCCACAGCAGGGCTGGGATGAGCCCACTCAAGACAGCGCAAGCAGAGCAACTACCAACAAGTTTAATTCAAGGTTTCTGCCCCAGAATAGAGCTGCGTGTTCCTTCCACCCTCTTTATGCTACAAGGGGACAAAACTGACTCCAGTGCTGATGCAAGCCTCCTGCGTGCCACTGTAGTGCGCTGTCAGCTGAGCTGATAATTTGAATATACAAGTCTCTCTGCCTTCCTCAGCCTTTGAGCCTAGGGGAACGGGCTGGGAGCTGCTCAGAGGGAACTGGGAGAGGGCAGGGTTGGAAACACTGCCCCTGGGCACTGCCCACTGCTTTTCAGAGGACAATAGAGGCAGCAGGAGCAGGCAGGCCCTGCACTGTTCCTCAGCCCTCCTAGGCTGATGGTAGCAACACAAGGGGCTGTAACCCTGTCCCAGCTGCTCAGGATGCTGCAAGCAGGTTAAGTGGTGCATACGTGGCAAAACATTTCCTTTTCAGCTTTTCTCTTTGCTTGTTTTCTCCCCAGGGCTTTCTGAGTCAGCACTGCACTGCAAAAAGGGGCTGCTTTATCTTGGCTGGGTTGTGGTCAGGCCTGCCTTAGAAGGAAGGAATCGGTTCTGTTCTTCTGGAGACCTGAATTGTCAAAGCAGAGTCGGGAAGGAAAGCAAGAGCCGGAGAGACCAGCCCATGTGAAATGCTTCTGAATTCCCCACAGAGTGGCAGGAAGCTGTACATCAAAGTCAGACAGTGACATCCCCCCTCCCTTCAGAGTGGGGGCTTTAGGATGAAGAGAGCTTCTGAGAAGCAATATTCCAATCCTATGGACTGGAATTCCAAAAGTACGTAATTTCATGACCTGGGATCTCTGTGCAAAACAGCCTTACAAACCCCACCCTATTTTGCAATAAGACAACCAGGACTCACTTCCCTATGAACTGTTTTTCTTTAAAGAGTCCAGGCTGAAACCAGACATCACTGGAGTGATTTTTTGACCCCTCACACACCAAGGTGAAGGCATCAGTGACCAAAGAGACATGGTAACCTCCTCTGACACGCACAGCATGTGCCACTCAACCCTGCTTAAGGAGCTGATGCATTCAGGGAGCTCACTACTTCCCTCTCTTGACACAACTTACTGCTCCCTCCTGCCTCCCTGCAGAAAAGCCGACTTTCAAGGACTTTGTAAAAGACAGCAACACTCTATAGTTATTCAAAGGGCTTTAGCCAACCAGGACATGAGAGTGAGTGCCTTACAAAAGCACAACTCAACCTTTCTGTTATGTTTAATGGTGTGTTATCTGCTAAGTTGACTGTTCATTTCAGCCAATTTCACCAGCACAGAAATGTCACTTACCGGTAAGGGATTTGTATGCTGTTTTTCCCAGGCCCTCTGTGGTATGGTGGGACATAAGCCATGCACCACTCAGGTACAAAGGTCAATTTAAGCAATAAGGCAATTAAGTAATTTCTAAAGACAGTCAGTCATAAAACTGTCTGAGTGTCGAAATTTCTTACCTTTACTACCTCTTACTGCAGGCATGGCTGACCCCTGGAAAATGCATGAGAACATTCTCAATTTTAAGAGCAAAGAATGAGGCAGGTAGTTCACACAGGGATTTTTACACTCTGGCTAAATCTGTCTGAAATGCTCATTTTACAGCCATAATACCTGTGAGCCCTGGAGTCATACTCCCTGGCAGCACAGCATTGCTGAGGCTGCCTTTGAAGTTTGTCATTAACTCCTTTCATGTTCCTACCGCAAGCTATTTCGTTCCCATCTTTTTTTTTATACTCCCTTGTGATGGCTTTGTAGTTAACATTCTCCTACTTGTGGCCTTATATTTAACATGTCCCTTTTTGTTCTCTGCTTTCTTTTCCCTGCCTGGGCATGAACTGCACCCTTTGAAGACTGCCTGTTCACTTCTGATGCCTCCTTTCCTGTTTTATTACAGAACTTTTTGACGGTTTGTGGACAGACTGTCTTCCTCTGAGCTTTTAGCACATGTTTTACCCTCTCAGGTACTGGCAGAAGAAGTGCAAACGTGTTTTCCTTGTTTCAAAGTGTCAGTGCACAGAGTGCCCCGGACTTTGTGGAGAAGACAGAGCAGACCTTCCCATTCCTGCTCTGAACACTAGCACCTCCCATCCTACATGCGTTGGGATTTGAGGTATGTATTTGCAAGCCTGTGCTCTCTTCTGCATAGGCTTTTCCTCTGGCCTTCAGAGAGCAAGGCAGCAGCTCAGTCTCCCCTTGCCCCACACCTTGCTCCAGGAGAGGTGGTCTTGGACGCTGTCGATGGAGAGGGCGATCATCTTCACGTTGCGCTTGCTGAATTCAGGCGCCAGCTTCGCCGCCCGGCCCAGCTCCGTGGTGCAGACGGGTGTGAAGTCCCGCGGGTGGGAGAAGAGGATGCCCCATCTGAGGGAAGAGAGCAGGAGATGGTGTTAGGGCAAGACATGGTTCCAGTTCGTACTGCAGGCAAAAAGCTGTAGAGATTGCACTGCACGGAGACTAGTGTGAGAACAGCTCATCTCTCTGCGAGGCAGAAATCCTTGCCCTGGGAACTCTTCCTTTCCTGTCGGTGGGAGCCTTCATGAGGCAGCCTCATTCACCACGCTTGGAGAAACTCCCTGTGCTGCACTCCCCCTCTTCCTCCAGGACCCCAGAGGGGATGCTGGGGTAGCGCAGTTCTTGATGTGGAGGTGGTCACTACGCCACACAAAGAAGTTTGGGGGAGCTACGAGTACACTCTGTACCCCAGAGACCACATGTGCGAGCAAACATAGATGCCAACCTGCCAGACACGTTATGGCAGAGATCATTGCTGATTTGCAAGGCTATTCCTTATCCGTTAACCACGGTGAGGAGAAACACCCAATTATGTCATGCAACTTAAAAGAAAGGGATAAGATCAAACCTTAAACCAACTGCCGCTGTGAGCTGCCAATGAAAAAAATAAAAATTAGTCAACTAAGGGGGAGGCCAGAAGTTAACATCACATTCTGCCTGCAGTTACAATAATATGGCCACTTTGCTTTTGCCTATCAGTGGATTCTGCAATCTTTAGAGCAGATAAATACCAGTATTCCCACTTTAAGGATAAGGCAAACGGTGCACAGAGAAAGGCAGCAATGCAGCCCAGCAGCGAGATAGGCTTATGGCAAAACAGCTCCCATCTCTCAGGAGTTTCCAGAGGCTAGAGCAAAGCCACCTCCAGCACTTAAAGTTCCCTGCCAGGGACTTGTCACAGCATTTCTCAGCTCAGTATTCGCAGGGTGTACTGCGCTGCTCTTCATCCAGCCCTCAGTGCTCGGTAAATACAGCTGTACGCCACAGCAACTGGGGAAAGTCTTGTTTTAGAGATTTGAGAACGGAGCTGAGGGATCAAGTGAGGCGCCCTGTAGCTTACTGCCACAGCTCACCATGAAGTTACTGAGCAGCTACAAGGCGCTACAAGTCTCTTTACACAGTAAGTGAACCACTTGAGCAGAGGCTTGCCAGGAAAGCTCCCACGTGGGTGCTCAGGCTGGAACAGCCGGTTTCAAGAAGGCCCGCAGCTTATTTTCTTGCTGAGAGGGCTCCTTCTTCCCCGCTCACCCAAGCTCACAAGGCTGACAGAAGTGGACTCAAGCACCGATTCAGCCCTGCCAAGCTGGAGGGAGAGTCCTGGACACGCTGTGCCAGCACCTCCCGCTCCTGCCAGGAACGGGGCAGCGGCCTTTGCGGGAAACGGAGCCTGACGGCCCGCGACTCCCTCGTCCGGCTCGAACCGGACCAGAGCCCTTCGCCTCGGCTCGGTCACTCACCTTCGCACGCCCGGGATCGCTCGCAGGGGACCTGCAGGCTGAC